GGAGTGTGTGCTCACCTGGTGGCCCTGCTTATGATCTTACATTCTAAAGAACTTCTTTTTTTTTTTTTAAGTTTATTTTGAGAGAGCGCGCGCACAAGTGGGGAAGGTGGGGGGGCACAGAATCTGAAACAGGCTTCAGGATCCGAGCTGTCAGCACAGAGCCCCAGGCGGGGCCCAAACTCACAAATCGTGAGATCATGACCTGAGTCACAATCAAGAGTTGGGCGCTTAACCAACTGAGCCACCCAGGCGCCCCAAGCGATAGGTATTTTGTAAGAATAGCGGCAGAAGAAAGGATACCTAGTAAACTTGAAGATGGTTGCCTAATGGGGAAGGAAGGTAGGGCAGAGAAGAGGGAATGGAGAAAAACAGCTGATCATAAAAAGGGTGGTGTTTGTTTCTGGAATGGGGTGGGTGGGTTATGATTGACAAAGGACATGGCGGCAGTGTCCTGTTTCTTGGTTTAGGTTATTTATGGTTGCATAGGTGTTCACGTTAAAGTATTTCCTTAAACGATATGCTTATGTTGTGTGTACCTGTTTGTGTTAGGGTTCCTCAATGTAGCGTTTTGCATATTTGGGGCTGGATAGTCCTTTGTTACTGGGAGCATCCTGTGCTTTGTAGGATGCTTAGCAACATCCCTGGCCTCTGCGCTCCAGATACCAAAACGTTAGAAGGAGATGCCGAGTCTGGATACCTGAGGTCTGTTCCCTTTTTTCAGGTTCCCTGGCTTCAAGGAGGTCCGACTGGTCCCCGGGCGGCATGATATTGCATTCGTGGAGTTTGACAATGAGGTACAGGCAGGGGCTGCTCGCGATGCCCTGCAGGGCTTCAAGATCACCCAGAACAATGCCATGAAGATCTCCTTTGCCAAGAAGTAGCACCTTTTTCCCCTGCCTGCCCCTGCCCCCTGTTCTGGGGCCACCCCTTCCCCCCTTGGCTCAGCCCCCTGAAGGTAAGTCCCCCCTCGGGGGCTTTCTCAGAGCCGTGTGTGAGTGAGTGGTCGCCACACAGCATTGTACCCAGAGTCTGTCCCCAGACATTGCACCTGGTGCTGTTAGGTCGGAATTAAAGTGGTTTTTTTTGAGGTTTGGTTTTTCACAACCATTTGTCGTTTTTATTTTCTTGTTCTCTGTGCCTCCCTTTCTCACACATCAGAATATTCTGGGTGTTTGGACCTCTCAGGGTGTTGGGGTTTGCAACCTTGGGAAAACACAGAATAGGGTATAACTTTGTCTAAGTTTCAGTTACCTTTACTACTTTGGGAAAATTTCTATTTTGTCTCCATCAGCATCCAGAGCAGGAAATTGCAACCTAGGCTGCCATGTACAGTTGGGCAGGTTGTGTACTGCACAAGGATGCTACCTTTAAGGATACACTATTCATTTTATAGATTTATATGTTTTTTCTAACATGATAGAGTGTTAAGAGGTTTTTCTTTCTTGTTTTTTAATGTTTATTTTTGAGAGAGAGACAGAGTGCAAACAGGGGAGGCAGAGAGAGAAGACAACACAGAATCTAAAGCAGGCTCCAGGCTCCAAGCTGTCAGCACAGAGCCTGATGCAGAGCTCGAACTCACGAACCACGAGATCATAACCTCAGCTGAAGTTGGTCGCTTAACCAACTGAGCCACCCAGGTGCCCCAAGAAAGAGGTTTTTCTTCACCTTTTTCAAATCTTCACAAAAATGCTTTCTGTCATAGGAGCAGTCCCCCAAAAACCATGCTAGATAGTTCAGGAAGAAAAGGATGGGAACAGGGTACTCAGGAACTCATTGGAAGAATAGTAGGAGTGGCAGCCTGGGTTGGGGACACTTGAGTTCAGGTTTGCAACCTGTGACTGAACTGTAGTCTGGAGTCCAGGAAGGTGCCACTGCAGCTGATGGAACTGCCCCATCTCACATGGGGAGCTACTAACCAGGCATAAGGGGTGTGGCCCCGTCAAACACTGCTGATCTTCCCTGTCGGCTACCCTCCAGCCAGGAGCCTGGGGCAGGTGACTAAACCAGCTCTGGCTCCAGTGCCCTGGCGGCAGGGGAAGGTCTAGGAAATGTAGTTTCCGGTTGGACAGTCATGTAATCTAACTGAAACTATGAATGGAAGGGAGATCGAATGGGGACCTTCCTTAGTAGTCCCTCACACCCTTGATCTGGAATTTTGTTTTACTTTTGAGAGAGAAAGCACGGGAAGGGCAGAGGGGCAGAGGGAGAGGAAGAGAGAATTTTTTTTTTAATGTTTGTTTACTTTTGAGAGAGCATGGTGGGGAGGGGCAGACAGAGAGGGGGGACAGAGGATCTGAAACTGGCTCCGTGCTGACAACAGAGAGCCCAATGCGGGGCTTGAACTCACGAACCATGAGACTGTCACCTGAGCTGAAGTCGGACGCTTAACTGACTGAGCCACCCAGGTGACCCAAGGGGGAGAGAGAATCTCAAGCAGTCTCCACACCCAGCATGGAGCCTGATGCAGGGCTCAATCTCACAACCATGAGATTGTGACCTGAACCAAAATCAAGACTTGGAAACATAATGGACTGAGCCACCCAGGTGCCCTGATCTGGAAAATTTTTAAAAGTATGTATGTATGTATGTGTGTGTGTGTGTGTGTATAAATACATACACACACATACACACATACACACATACACACATACACACATACATACATACATACATACATATAAAACGTGTGTGAGTACCGGAAGGGAAGGGCAAAGGGGCGGGGGGGCAGGGGAAGGATCCGAAGTGGCCTCTGCGCTGACAGCATTGAGCCTGATTGAGGGCTCTAACTCATGAATCATGAGATCATGACTTGAGCCAAAGTGGGACATTTAACCATCTGAGCCACCCAGGCACCCAACTCCTGGAAACTTTTTTTTAAATGTTTTACTATTTATTTTTGAGAGAGACAGTGCAAGCAGGGGAGGGCAGAGAGAGAGGGAGACACAGAATCCAAAGCAGGCTCCAGGCTCTGAGCTGTCCACACAGAGCCCGATGCGGGGCTCGAACTGACAAATAATGAGATCATGGCCTGAGCCTGAGCCACCCAGATGCCCACCCCACCCCCCCCCACCCCCGGAAATTTGTAATTGACTAAAAGACACACATAAATCGCTAAAGACCCTTCATGCCATATAGATAGAAAAATGAGATCCTTTGCCAGAAGTAGAAAATTGACCACAAAAATAAATACAGGAAGACAATGTTCTGTTTGGATATCTTCTGCAAAGGCTCTAAGCCCAAGCCTGCTTCTGCTCTGCTCTTTTTAAATTTTCACTTATTTATCTGTTTATTTATCTTGAGAGAGAGAGGGAGAGAATCCCAAGCAGGCTCTGTGCTGTCAGCACAGAGGCCCAATACAGTCTTTGAGCTCACAAACCATGAGATCATGACCTGAGCCAAACTCAAGAGTCAGATGCTCAGCCGACTGAGCTTCCCCCAGGTACCTCTCTGCTCTTTCTATTAAAGAGGAACATCAGCATTTGCAGTGAAGACTTCACAGCACCAAATACAGTCTTTGTGCTCGTAGGATCTGAAAGGGGAAGGGGATTGTCTTCACTAAGAGGCAAGTATTGTAGACAAATGCAAACACCTCGCCCACCACACTGGTGACCACGGGTTCTGTCTGTGATCAGTGGGTCCTGGTTTCTGTCGTCTGCCTGGTGGACTCCTTAGCTGCTCCCTTGTGTCGTTGATGTCCCCACTCTAAGGTTCATTTTCTTCCTGTGTGAGGGGAGAATTCCTTGTAGGTTAATACTGTGGTATTGTCGGTACTCGCCACTGCCCCCAACATGCACACCCACTGCCAGGCACTTAGTAAACACCATAAATTCAGCATATGCTTGCCGAGTACCTGGCATGTGCTAGATACCGTTCTTGGGACAGGACATGCAGTGGTGAGTGAAACAGATGAGCTAACTGCAAACACTTTTGGTACAAACGACGGGGGTGGTGGGGCAGAAGGGCTGGGGAACGGTCCTGGGTCATCAAGGAAAGCCAGTCATTTGAGGGGACCTTTGAGCACAGTGGTTTCTCCCACGGTTGTGGGGATGGGTGTTGGGCGCATAGAGATGGTTTCAGTCCAGGCTTTGCGCCACGTGGATTCTTCCCCATCCCCATGCCCATATGCGCCCAATCTACTTCCCCCTCATGGAAGTTTGGACTTGAGGCCAAAGGTGAGAATGCCTGAGGACAGAGATGGCCACTCAGGAGAATGATCTTGGTCCGTGGATCTATTTGAAGGGCAGTTTTAGAGGTTGAGACCTGAGATCAAATCTCCCACCGCTTTCTCTTGACAACTGACAACTCCACGCTGAGTAAGTGACGGGTATGGGCCTGGACCCCAATCTGGCCCCTCTGCTTGCTGGCCAGTTTCTTAAGGCTCCTCACTACCATTTCCATGTTGAGTGGGGTTATAACAGCCCTCTTGAGGTGACGGAGAGTGTCCATTTGAGTTAATAAAAATGTATGTGGTGAGTGCTCTTTAAAGGACTGCTAGCTTTCATTGTCCCTATTTTACAGAGGAGAAACGCGAGGAGAAATAGCTGAGCCCAGGTCACTCATTCGGGAAGTGGCTTGTGAGGATAAATAGTGGTTATGGTAGAGCGTTGCCTAGCCTAAGTAAGGCCTGGCATGTAATACTTGGTCCTTCGGAGTGGGGGCTGTTCCTGGGAATCAAAGGGCTGCCTTGTTCTGCCCTTTACAGGAAATTCCAAGGTAGTTTTCCGTACTGGCTCCCTGTTTCTGTTCTCGGAGGGGCCCAGGTACCCAAGTGGACTCAAGATGGAATCGAATATCTCAACCTGCCTGTCCGGGCCTCTGGTTGTCAGGGGGGTGGGGGTGGGGTGGCTGGCACCTGGAGTGGCCTGGGCTGCTTTGGGCCTATTTGGGTATTTCCTTGGGCGGGCAGCCCTCACCCTGTCCTTGAAATGGTTCTGGCTGGGTAGCAGCCTCTAGGTGGTGTGGATGAAATTTGGGACTGGTTAAGGGCGGAGACGAGACCAAGAACACAAGTTTCCTTGTGCTGCTGGGGAGAGGGAGGGCAGGAGGAAACTGGAGACCCCATTTCCACCCTGGCCACTCTCTGGCTCACAGTCCACAATGGCTGGGTCGCCAGTGTTCCTCGGTGTCATCATTTTGCTGTCTGCCTTCTCAGGGCCTAGTGTCGGGGGTCGCGCCATGCCCAAGCTGGCTGACCGCAAGCTGTGTGCTGATGAGGAATGCAGCTGTAAGAGTTGGGGGGTGGGGGGGTGGGGACTGGGGGCTTGGATTGCCAGCCTGTGTGGAGGGTGCTGTCATTCTCTTCTATTCCTCCCCCAGACCCCATCTCCATGGCTGTGGCCCTGCAAGACTACGTGGCCCCCGACTGCCGTTTCCTGACCATACACAGGGGCCAAGTTGTGTACGTCTTCTCCAAGCTGAAGGGCCGAGGGCGGCTCTTCTGGGGAGGCAGCGTGAGTCTTGGGAGAACAGAAGAGGAAAGGGTATGGGGCTGGGGTGGGAGTACACCCTAATTTTCCACCTAAAGGGAAAATTTGAAGCGGTGGACTGAAATAGTTTGGCAGGGGGAGGGGGTATTGTGATCTTGATTTTTAATTTGTTGAGCAATTACAGGGCATGAACCAACTATATGGTGCTAGTCTCTTACGGACACTGAAGAAAGAACAGCGCATGATCCCTTTAATTCTAATGGAAAGGGACAAGCCATCAAAAAACATCAGCAAATATATGCTCCTTTGAGAATTAGTACAGACTGGGTGACTACATCAGGTGGTCAGGGAGGGCATCCACACAGTGCCTCGAGGCTGACATCTGAGTGACAAGGATGGAGCCAGCCATCTGGAGACCAGGAAGAAAAAATGTACAAAGGTCTTCAGCAGGAATAAGTTTGCCATCTTTCCGGACCCTGGCTTTTAATTCTTCCTCCCCAGGTTCAGGGAGATTACTATGGAGATTTAGCCGCTCGCCTGGGCTATTTCCCCAGTAGTGTCGTACGTGAAGACCAGACCCTGAAACCTGGCAAAATTGATGTGAAGACAGATGTGAGTCTCTTGGGGGCTGGCAGGGAACTGGAGGGGGGACTCTTGGGTTGTGATGATGGGCAATGATCCTCCTACCCTTGGCTCCCCGGCTGCCTAGCTGTGTGCCTCGGTTTTCTCATCTGTAAAATGCAGAGGGATTTCTAAGTCTATGTCAGGTTGAGCGGTGCAGATTAGAGGGCTCTGGGCTAATTTGCATAGCATGTGTTTGGCCAAACCTGGCCCCTGCTGCTACAGCTTTTGCTAAAACCGCTAGATCCTTTGTGGTGTGACCGCTGGTTTTCTCCCCACTGTTTTCCCTTTCTCTTTTTCAGAAATGGGATTTCTACTGCCAGTGAGCTCAGCCTACCACTGTCCCTGCTGGGTTTTTTTCCTTCCCGGCTTTATGCAAATATATCAGCCAAGTGCAAACTGCGGGTCTCTGTGGTCTTTATGTGGGGGCGGCGGGGGGGGGGGGTGGGCTGGGGGGGGGGTAACAAAGGAAATGTTTCCCCAGGTTTCTGAATTTGGCCAGTCAACCCACTGACTGTGGTAACGTCAGTGGTTGCTAGGCAGAGTTCCACTCACTAAAAGCTCTTTGCTCCAAGCTGGGTACTGGAGGTGGGCACCTAAGCTTAGATATCACACACAAGCAAATGAGAAGGTGGAATAACCTGAACATCCCGGTTGCGGGTTGTAGTGTCCTCTCTAGACCAATGGAAGGGAGTTGGAACTATTGGGAATGAGCCAATCAGACCATGAGGAAGACATAAATCGCAGAATAGAGGTTTTCATGGAAGATCATCTGAAAAGGGAGGTGGGAGGTTAGCCTGCGCGTATTCCCGCAGTTTTCATCCTTGCCTTTGAGGTCAGAAAGAGCCCTTGCCAGCTCATTACCCGCTCTTCTTCAGGGTCTTTCTGTCAATTCTGCCCATGCCCCTTCTTTGCAGCTGTGTCCCCGCCCCCAGGTCCGCTCCTACCCAATCTGGAGTCTCGACTCTGCACCCGTACTCCGGACCAAATCCGTTTCTCAGCTCGGCTAAGCACCTCTGTACTGTACCTTCCCACTTGCTCAGCCAATCGCTCGTCTTAGTCCCGCCTCCCTCGGCACGTCCCCTCTCACGCCGCCAATCCGTGCTTTTTGTCCCGCCTCCTGGCCGTCGAGTTCGCCAATCCCTGCCTTTGGGCAGCGTGGCCTGGTATCCCGCAGCCCTAGCGGGTCGCGCCGTAGGGGGGTGGAGGCGGAAGTGGCGGCGCCGGCCCCGGGAGTAGGAAGGAGCCGGGGCTGCAGCCGGAGTGGAGCGGCTGCCAGCCGAGGAGCAGGCGCGGCCGCGGCGCCATATTGCGGCCCCAAGCGGCCGCGACCGAGTCATGGCCGAGACCTACGGTGAGGGTGGTGTGCCGAAGCCGGAGTCTGGGGTCTGGGCCCAGAGAGGATGCGGCCTTTGGGGAATGGGGCGGAGCCTTATGTGCCAGGGGGCGGGGTCTGGTATGGGGCAGGGCCTGGTGGATACTGGGAGGGGTTTAGTGGGTCTGAGGCTGAGCTCCATCTATTTGGGCGGAGCCTGAGGGTCTGGTGTGTGGGTTAAATAGATCTGGGGCGGGATTTGAGGTAGCCAGTCCTGGTGGATCTGCGCAGGCCTTGAGAGAAAGGGTGGGCCTTAATGTGTCAGGGCGGAGCCTGAGTGGATCGGGTGGGGCTGACTGTGAATGGCAGGGGTCGAGCCGGGTGGGCTAGGAGAATCCTGAGGGGATGCTGTGGACCCTGGGACTGCTCTGGCTTGAGAGGTCTGGAATGGGGTTGGGGATGAGTTGTCCTTGAATTAGGAGGTGGGAGGGAGTAGTGACAAGGGGTGGGGCTTAAACTTGAGGATAGGGGCAGGGCCTTGGGCCTGGGAAGGAGGGGCTGAGAATTGGAAAATCTGGATGAAGGGATGAATTGGAGGTGGGAGGACAGGGTGCGATAGAAAGAGCACTGTTTTAAGAGTCAGAAGGAGCTACATTCCTTCAACAAATAAAGGAAAAGCATTGGGATCAAGTGCAAAGATCCCGAGGTGGGAACCAGCTTGCCATTTTTAGGGAATAGACTGAAGGCCAGAGGTTAGAGCAGAGTGAATGAGAGAGTGGTAGAAGGTGAAATTGTGAAGGGTAGGATTTCAAGATGGCTTTCAAGAGGTGTTTACAACATAGTAGGTAAGATTTTGAACTCTGGAGTCAGTTGACCTGGGTTCGAATCCCTGTTCTGCCTGGCTGTGGGATCGTGGGCAAGCCAGTTAACTTTTCTGGCCTCAGTTTCCTCATCTGGAAGATGGGGATGATTGTTAGTATACTTCCCTCATAGAGTTTTTTTCTGAGAATGAAGCAAGCTGTTGATGTAAGTAAAGAACTTTAAAACTGTGCCTGGTATGTAGTAAGCTCTATATAAAAGGTGTTACCGTTCTTACCCATTGCTCTGATTCTGCCTGTGTCTGTTTGTCTCCTTATAACTGTGATGGTCTCTCGGTTTCCATCTTTTGCCCTGTATCATTCTCTCCATATGGGTTTTCCTGATTTTGACTCCACCTGCTCAGACTTCCTCTTCAAATTCCTGGTGATTGGCAGCGCAGGAACTGGAAAATCATGTCTCCTTCATCAGTTCATTGAGAATAAGTGTGAGTTTCTGGGAATGGTCCCCGGATCACTGAACTGTGGGCATGGGCATGGTGTGGGCAGGGGCAGGGCTGGCCAGAGGTACAGTTCCAGTGCTGGCTGCCTGGTCCTTGCCTTGGTATGTATTCTTTGCTAGACCCTCCCTGAGCCTCAGTCACCCCTGCAACGGGAATGGTTTTGTACAGGCTGAGGAGGCCTTGGAGGACAGGGAATCTTCTGAGCCCCTGCACTGCCTCTTCTCTCCCTCCCACTCCCAGTCAAACAGGACTCCAACCACACAATTGGCGTGGAGTTTGGATCTCGCGTGGTCAACGTGGGTGGAAAGACTGTGAAGCTACAGATTTGGGACACAGCCGGCCAGGAGCGGTTTCGGTAGGTGGCCTGGGCTCCCAAGGGAGGGGGCGGGCAGAGGACAGAGGAAAGAAAATGGGGGCGGGGGAGAGGGGGGGGGGTTGTGTGTGCAGAATCACTTGGAGATATGACAGGAGCCAGGAGACATTGAGAGGGCAGGCAAGGTCGAGGGAGAGAGACAGAGACTGAGCAGAAGAGCAAGATAAGGGTGATAAAGAGACACAAAGAGAAGCAGGTCAGAGCCAGAGACAGGGAGGGTGGGACAGGCAGAGCCAGAGAGACAGAGAAATGGATGTGTTTTGGGGCGGGGGGTTGGGGGGGGAGAGAAGGGTGTAGGGCTCAGTGCACAGTATGTCTTCAGGAAATGGCTGCAGAAAAGGTGGGAGATGCATAGAAACCCTGAATCTGAGATACAGAGACAGAGGAGACAAATGAGGGAACCCAATCCATGGGGAAGTGTGGTCCAAGGCCAGCAAGTCGTCGCTGCTACGTTAATATTGGCGTGTAGATCCACTGTGTGGGAGACACAGAGAAGGTGAAGGGTGTGCGGCTTGCGCTGGGTTTGCAGTAAGTGCTCAGTGTACGCTCGTGGAATGATTGCCTGAGTTCCAGAGGGACCCAGACAGGTGACTGGGAGATGCATACAGTCGGCCACAGTGGGAGAGGGACAAGCGGATGTAGTTGCAGAGCACGTGGCCAGGCCTGGGCAAAGGGGAGGTGAATGAATGAACGCATGAGAAATCAAGAGCGAGGGTGAGAGAACCAGGGCCACAGAGACAGACAGAGATAGACACAGAGAATGAGAGACATACACACGCAAGAGAGACGGAGAAGAAGACACAGACCAGTGAGGACATACAGGAAGACACAGACAGACAGACAGACAGACAGTTAAAGGAGACAGAGATTGAGGGAGACAAAGAAAGAAATTGTGGCAAGACCAGACCACTGCCAGCTTTTGGGGGATGGGCCAGCAGTGAAGGGGGGCCTCCGAACCACCAGTCTCTCTCCGCAGAGGGGGGCAGTCTCAGGGCAGACCCCAGCCTCGGGGGTGACTGGGTCCCCCTGGCCCCACAGGTCGGTGACACGGAGTTATTACCGAGGCGCGGCTGGAGCTCTGCTGGTGTATGACATCACCAGGTGGGTACAGGGAGAGGAGAGGGTGGGGCAGGGCCTGGGCAGAGCCCCTGTCCTGTGCCTGCCTCCCTCTTGTCTCCCTTCTCCATAGCCGGGAGACCTACAACTCACTGGCTGCCTGGCTGACGGATGCCCGCACGCTGGCCAGCCCCAACATCGTGGTCATCCTCTGTGGCAACAAAAAGGACCTGGACCCGGAGCGTGAGGTCACTTTCCTGGAGGCCTCCCGCTTTGCCCAGGAGAACGGTGAGGGTCCTGTGGTGGGCCAGTGGCGGGGGGGCGGGGGGTGCTCAGCAGAGGAGCAGGGGCAGTCCCTGCAGGCCTGCAGGCCTCCCGGCCATCTGCGGCTATGCCCAGCAAGAGAATGTGGAGATTTAGAGGTCTGGGTTCAAATTCAAGTGTTGCCACATGTGAGCTGTGCCACCACTCTGGACCCGTTTCCTCATCTGACAAGTGGGAGTCACGGCCTTTCTGTCTCAACATGGTACGTGATGGATGGCTCAAGGGATTTGGTCCATGGAGAGCCCACCGCACTGCCCGGATGTGGCAGCGGCCTCTTGAGGAACATTGGCTGCTAAGAAGGTTTTGGCCAGTGCAGGGTATTGGTATAATGTGGGGGTTGCAAACTTCGATGGCCCGAGGGGCCAGGCCTGTTTTGTGAATAAGAGATAGGACAGGGCAGACCCCAGGTTAGCAGGCATCAGTGTTAGGGGCATGGACAGGACCAACGGCCACAGCAAAAGGTGTGCAAGTATAAACTCACTTGAAAACTTCGTGTGGGCCAAACATCTACTGGCTCAGGGTCTGTCTCCATGTTCCCCAATTTGTAACTTCCAGGTTTAGAGGATGTCTTGCCATGAGAAAGATGTGGGTTTGAGTCCTGGCTCTTACTTTCTGTGTGGCCTTGTCATGTGGCTGAAGGGTAGACTGTGGTGGGCCTGGGTCTGTCCTAGATGGTGCTGGGGACAGAGTGTGAAAGACGCCCTGGGCCCAGTTGTCGTGGGCTCACCGTTAGTGGGTGGGGAAAGGGGACACCACCCTCTGCAGATAATGACAGCCCAGAGAGGTCAGGGCTGGGATAGGGGAGACACAGGGGGGCCCTGGGAGCCCAGGGTGGGGCACCTGGTCCTGCTGGAAGGTCAGAGAGAACTTTCTAGGGGAAGAGGTGTGTAGGCGGGAACCTGGGGAGGTGGCCCTTCACAGCAGGACAACAGAGGCCTGGAGTGAGGGCAAAATGAGAGGTGGCAGGTCAGAGTCAAGGGGAGGCTGGGGACTGACCCAGGCCCTGCCCCCTAGAGCTAATGTTCCTGGAGACTAGTGCCCTCACGGGTGAGAACGTGGAGGAGGCTTTCCTGAAGTGTGCCCGCACCATCCTGAACAAGATCGACTCAGGTGAGGCCCCTGACTGCCCAGAGTGGGAGTGGGAGTAGAAGGCAGGGCCCAGAGGTCTCTGGGGGACAAGTCCTGACCTCTCCCCTGCCCCCCAGGTGAGCTCGACCCCGAGAGGATGGGCTCAGGCATTCAGTATGGGGACGCATCCCTCCGCCAGCTGCGGCAGCCTCGGAGTGCCCAGGCCGTGGCCCCTCAGCCCTGTGGCTGCTGAGACGTCCGGAGCCAGGTGGGAGCCCAGGGCCTGGGGACGGCAGGGGTGGTGTCCTGGCAAGGGGGGGATACGGAGCGGAGACGGAGACACAGAAAAGGAGAGGTGGCAAGAAAAAGAGAGTGAGAAAAGAGAGACGCAAGAACGGGTTAGTGAAAGGAGCCATCATCCTGGCCTCAGGGATGTCCTCTCCATCTCACCACCACCTTGCTGCCCTGGATCTCCGACCCACCCACTTGGCAAATATTTATCGAGTGTCCACTGTGTGCCAGGTCCTGTTTGAGCAGTGGGCTAGAGAATTCCTGCCCTCGCAGGGCCAACATGCTCTGGGGAGGAAACAGACAATAATCAAGACACATAAGAAAATGATATCGTAGTTAAGGAGATAAGAGCTATGGAGAAGAATAAAGCAAGGAAGTTGGGGTGGGGAGGTAAGGAGTGGAGTTTTATGATGATGCGGGAAAGCCCTTACTGAGGAGGTGACATTTGAGCAAAGACCTGAAGGAGGAGAAGGACAGGGTCATATGGGTCCCTGGGGGAAGAGTGTTCTAGGCAGAGAGAACAGCCAGTGCAGAGGCCCTGAGGTAAGTCATGCCTGGCCTGGATGAGGAAGTCCATGGAGGCCAGTGTGGCTGGAGTGGAGTATGTGTGTGTATTGAGGGCTGGGAGCGGTAAATAGGAGATGAAGTCAGGGATCAGGGGAAGCAGATCATCAGGTAGGGCCTGGCTGTCCTTGAGGTGGCTCTGGGTTATACCCTGGGTGGGATGGGAGCCACAGGAGGGCTCCAAGCAAAGATGGGACAGGACCTGATTCAGGTCTTCCCAGGGTCCCTCTGGCTGCATATAGAGGAGAGAAGGGGGTGGGCGGGGGTGGTTGTTGAGAGACCAGTGAGGAGGCTACTGCAAAGTCAAGCTGAGAGAAGATGGTGGACAGGACCAGGGTTGGGGGGGAGGAGGGACTGAGACGTGGATAGCTTTGTATCCTCCCTGGTCTCTGTCTCCAGTCTTGTACCCTCTTGATGGAGCCACTGGGTCTTTCTAAAGCACAAATCTGATCCTGTCCCTCCCCTGTTTAAAACCACCCGTGGCTCCCAGGGTTCATGGGACCAAGCTGAAGCTCCCAGCCTGGTGTTTGCCTCCACCAGCTTCTCCTGCTTCAGCTCACACCTCTCCCCAGCACTCAGGCCACCGCAGCCACACCGAAGTTCTTTCCATTTCTCTGGCTCTTTGCTCATGCTGTTCCCTCTGCCAGGAACACCATCTCTGACCACCTCCCCCTCCTCCAGCAAGCCTCACTTCCCCTATGGTTGGTCCAGACTCCTTGCTGGGCTTGCAGGATCCTACAGGATCAGGTCCCATCCCCACTTCTTTGGGAGGGTGTCTGTCTTGCCAATTATCCCCTGTGTTTCACACCCCCCCCCCCGCCTCCCGCTATTGGCAGCTCCAGAGTGGCTGAGGGGGGGAAGTGCTCGACCTTGGGTATACTTTAAAGGCAGAGCCAACATAATTTCCTGATGAACGGATATGGCATTTGAAAGAGAGGAGTCAAGGGTGAGTGTTTAGGGCAGAAAATTCTTTTCTTTCCATGCCTCTGCCTCTGCTGTGCCTCGGTTAGGTGTGCCTGTCTGTCCTCCAGCCTCCTTTCTTAGGCCAGATGCCACTCATCATCTGCTCTCTGCTAAAACGACTCTTGCTGCAGGACACCTTTATCAGCTTCCCAGATGGGGTCACTGCCTCTAGCTGAGTGGTCGCACAACTGCCCCCTATTTTTTAAAGCATTCAGTCTCAATACTTGATCATTATTGTTTGTGTTTGTCTTCCCCATCTGAGAAGGAGGGAGGTGACAGATCAGAGATTCCCCAGCCAGGTTGCCTGTGTTTAAACTGACTCTGTCACTTGCTACTTGTGTGACACTGGGCAAATTATTTAACATCTCTGGGCCTTGGTTGCCTCACCTTCCAATTGGGGCTAATAATAGTACCTACCTCACGTAGGTTTTGTGAAGATTAATTACATTAATCCATGTAAAGTCCTTAGAACAGGGCCTGACACTTAGTGGAGACTCGATAAATGAGGTCTGTGAATTATTTTTCTTTTTACTATCCATTTTAAAGAGTCGGGCTGTGTAGAACTGGATGGGTGCGTATTCTTCACCCTCGGGCTTAGTATAGCATCCATTTCAGTGTTTACCCTCAGTGAATCAAATGTAATAAGACAGTGCTTTTTCAGATGTTACTGACTGCAGTCTGCAGGAGGAAATCAATTGTATACTTTGATCTAATACAGTCACACACACATAAAAGACTGAAACACTTTCCTAGCACTAATGTTTTTTGATTGAGGTGAAATTCACATGACCTAAACTTAGCCCTTTTAAGGTGCACCATTCAGTGGCACTTAGTCCATTCACAAAATTGTGCAACCACCACCTCTGTCTTGTTCTAAAACATTTTCATTACCCTAAGGAAACCCTGTGCTCATTAGGCAATCATTCCCCGATCCCCCCAGCCTCTGACACCCAGCAATCTGTTTGCTGTCGCTGTGGACCAATATTCCTATTACACGTGATGCACTCTGATATTCTCTATTCTTTTTTTTTATTTTTAATTTTTTTTTAACGTTTATTTATTTTTGAGACAGAGAGAGACAGAGCATGAACGGGGGAGGGTCAGAGAGAGGGAGACACAGAATCCGAAGCAGGCTCCAGGCTCTGAGCTGTCAGCACAGAGCCTGATGCGGGGCTCGAACTCACGGACCGCGAGATCATGACCTGAGCCGAAGTCGGCCGCTTAACCGACTGAGCCACCCAGGTGCCCCCTGATATTCTCTATTCTGTTTTATTCGTTCATTGACAAATTGGCCAAGGCCCACCAAACTGATTTCCCAGCCCACTCATGCAGTGCCGCACACTGAAATCACCTGGAGAGCTTTAAAAGCTACTGATGTCTGGGCCTCACCCCAGAGACTCTGAAGTGATTTCCGGATTTCTAGAAGCTCCCAGGTAATGCTATCTGTAGCTGAAGCAACAACCACTAACCAAATGCGGCTCTTCAGTTTGGAAAACACTGGAATGAGCCACGGTGATCCAGGAACACAGAGATAACAAAGGTGGGATGCGAAATTTAGATATTGAGATACTCCTCTATAGACTCCAGGGGTCAGCTCTCTGAGACAGATAAATAGGGAGATACAAGTACCCTCAAAGAGATAGCTCCAAATTGCCTGCAGAAAATCAGACAGCAAATGTAGGAACTTTGGGAGAAAAAGAAAGGTATGGGCAGACAGACACAGATAGGAGGGCAGGAAGATACCCAGAAATGAGGCAGAGATACCGGCCGGACAGACTGAGGATCCCTGTAGTTCACCACACACTTTTCTTTCAGCTCACCTGTTCTCCAGGACCAGCCCTGCCCTCTGGCTGGGGCCTAGCCCCAGGCCCTGGGAGGCAGAGCCCCTCACCTGTCCTGGCCCCAGAGAAGCTGCCCCGCCATCTATCCCCCTTCCCTGGCCTGGTGGGGCCTGGCTGAGGGGCAAGACTGAGCCACGGGGGAAGGGGGAATCCGTACCTGCTGCTGCTTCCTCTGTCTTGGCTAACCCCTGTCCCCCCTGAAACCCTAACCATACTCTAAGAGTTCCCAAAGCCTGAGACCAGGGCAATTGGCCCCAGCTCCCCGCCTGGCCCTGCCATTGCGAGTATGTGTTATTTATTGCCTGGAGGCCTGTTCAGTCCCTACTCCACCTCCATAAAGCATTGTTTACACCTGCGTCTTGGCCTCCGTTATTTTGGGGTGATGGGGAGGGAGGGGAGACAGAAGAGGTCCCTGATGGAAGAACCACGTGTTTGGGGGTCATGTTTGTGGTTTGGATATGATGTGGGGGTACACCATGACTCAGATGTTTGCTGTGGAGGGGGGTTTCTCACTGCACTTGTTGTGACAAGGCATGCTGGAGGCCCACCTGTGTAGCGCTGATGTCCTTGTGTTTGTGATGTGTGTGATGGGTATGTGATGGCATCTGTAGGAATGTGTGCTGATTGTGTGTGACACTGTTGCTTGTGACTGCTTTGTGTCCTCAGTGATTGTATCCATGAGGCTGGTGGTATTTGGCACCAATGCCGGGGAATGAAAATTCAGGTTTGTAGGTGAAACCTACGTGTGTTTGATGCTTGAAAGTTCCAGGCAGTGTCTGACTATTGCGTGTGTGACTGTGTATGTATGCCCCTGAGGTGTGTTTGTCTTAGTGTGAATTTGGCATCTTTGATACACCCGTGTGTGACCATGAACCCTGAGTATGCCCCTAAAGGCTTTGTGGGCCTTTGTGCAACCCTGACCCTTGCATACTTGAGACTGGTGTATATCTCTCTGCGTCCTGGTGAACTGACAAGACCAGGGACAGGTGCAGCCCCCTGAGACCCTCCCAATTTCTCTGCCATCCCCAGGTCAGCACTAACCCACTCAGAGGGCAGGCCTGAGCCCCTAAACCCCCGTCTGCCCTGGCGATGGTGGAGGGGGCAGGGTATTTAAATGACCTTATCTGCATAGTCGTTCCAGGCAGGGTCGCCCAAAATGTTCATAGACCTAAGGCTGTTAGACAAATGTCTTCTCTGCGTAGCCTTCCTAGGTTGCCCACAATTGTCCCGAAGAGGCAGGATGAAGCGGATCATATTTTGGCACACATCCCTTCCAGTCCGCTCTCTCTTCTCTCAGGGGCGTTCTGCACTTCTTTCCCTCCGCTATAGAAGGTACTTAAGTAGATTACTAATGTGTGCATTTACATACATTTCCCAACTAACTGTGCAGACATTTATCACATCTCTATTCTTGGGCGGTGAGAAGGCGGGGCTGCCCATGTAAATAACCTCATTTGCATGCCACTGTCCGACCCGGCTACACGTCATTCTCCGGCGCTCTGGGCTCTGAGAGGGTGGGCAGGCCTATGTAAACAATTTATTTGCATGCCACTCCCACATCGCCTGGCCTACCGCAGAACCCTCCCCCCTTTCCCTGATCCAGCCCTTTTAACCCCCTTCCTCCTCCCGGGCAAAAGGGGCGGAGTGCAGTACGCAAATGAGTCTCGCGTCGGCGGCCGACCCGTTTCCCCTTCCTCCAGGAGGGTGTTCTGAACTTCCTTGCTCCGCCCCGCGCGGCTCACGCCTGCGCACGCACGGCCTCCTCAGCGGGTGAGGTCACGTGCCCAGCGGGCGAGGCAGGGGCGGAGCGTCGCGGGAGGTGGGGGCGGGGTATGGCGCGCTGTGCGGCGCTGGGCGGCTGGCACAAACGTCGGCGCCGAGGCCGGAGGAAAAAGCTCGGTGAGGAGAGAGCTAGGAAGGGAGTGGGGCGGAGAGGGCGCGCGAGCCTGGGCGCGGGCGCGAGCCGAGCGAGGTGTGGGGGCGCCTGCCGGCCCGGCGTGGCGGAGCGCTGCGACCCCGGGAAGGGAAGGGTGGGGGTAGGGCGTGGGGGAGGGAACGCGCCGGGCGCGTTGAGTGCCGGCCGTTGAGGGCGGGGGAGCGGAGAGCGCGCGCCGGCCGACGGCGGTGGGGGGGGGGGAGGGAATCCGGGGTCCGAGCGGTCCACGGGCCGGGCCTCCGTCGCCTGCGGCGCCCCGAGCTGGGAGGCCCGCACCGAAGGGGGTTGGGAGGGGCCGCCCTCTCTTGTCCTGTCCCCTCCCCCGCCCTTCCCCCTGTCGTTGTGGACCCTCCTCCAGCGGCTGCCTTCCGTCTGTCTGTCTGTCTTAGGCCCTCCCTTCCGTCTGGGTGTGTGTCAGCCGCCGGCTGGCTTCCTCTCGTTGGGCTTAGGTTGACCCCTCCGCCCCGTTCAGTCCGGCCGTCTCAGGCTCGCCCAGCTTCTCTCCGGTCGGCTTTTCCGTCTCTGGATCCCCCCATTCTCTTTGTCTCTGGACTCCCCGGTTTGCTCTGTCTGTGGAGCCTTACGTTCCCGCCGTGTGTCCCTGGAATCCCCAGGCAGAGTCCCCCCCACCTTGTGGATTTGTTTCCAACTCTCGCGCTCCCTGCTGCCCCAGTATTCCTTTTCTACCCCAGGCCCCCTCTCTCCTTGCTGTTCAGTTTCTGTGTCCGAGCCCCCACCGTAGTCCTGTGCCTTTGGGTCATCTCCCCAGTCTCACTCCTCTCTTCGGCTGCCTCCCTCACTGCCTTCTCTCTCCATGATTCCCCCCTCCCGCCCGAAATTCCCATGATCTTCTCCCCGACTTGGCCTGGCCTTTGGGGGGGGGGTCTCCGTAGCCAAGTCTGCCTTCCTCCCCACTGCCCCTGCCACTCCTCACCGCTACCCCCGCCGGACTGCCTCTAGCTCTTCTCACATTCCGTTTTTTGTCTCTCCCCCTTCAGCCACCCTGACGGGTCCTTTCCCAAGCCCCTAGGGGCGGCAGAGGACTTGGGGACCAGCGAGCACCCCCAGGGCACGAGAAGAGCCTCTGCTGCCTGCCCTGCCTCATCCTGCCCCACGCCAGGCTCAGCCGTTCCGGCCCCCGGCTGCATCAAGTGGAGGAGGCGGAGGCGGAGGAGGGTGGCACCATGGGCCCGGGCCGTGCCCTCCATGCCCGGGGGATGAAGACGCTGCTGCCATGGACAGCCCGTGCCAGCCGCAGCCCTTGAGTCAGGCTCTCCCTCAGTTGCCGGGTTCTGTGTCAGAGCCCTCGGAGCCTGGCCGGGCCAGGATGGGGGTGGAGAGTTACCTGCCCTGTCCCCTGCTACCCTCCTACCACCGACCAGGAGCACCTGGTGAGGCCTCGGCGGGGAGCGGGACCCCCAGGGTCACAGCCACTTCCACCACAGCCAGCCCCCTGCGGGAGGGCTTAGGCGGGCAGGATGGTGGTGAGCTGCGGCCCCTGCAGAGTGAGGGCGCTGCAGCACTGGTCACCAAGGGGTGCCAGCGACTGGCGGCCCAGGGCGCCCGGCCTGAGGCCCCCAAACGGAAGTGGGCAGAGGATGGCGGGGATGCCCCTGCACCCAGCAAGCGGTCCTGGGCCAGGCAGGAGAACCGGGAGGCAGAGGCCGAAGGGGAGGGCGGGATGGGCTGCAGCAGTGACAGTGGCGAGGCCAGCGCAGGGCTGAGGGAGGAGGTGCTGCCCGCCACACCCGAGCGCCTGGCCCTGGACTATATTGTGCCCTGCATGCGGTACTATGGCATCTGTGTCAAGGACAGCTTCCTGGGGGCAGCATTGGGTGGCTGTGTGCTGGCCGAGGTGGAGGCCCTGAAGCGGAGTGGGCGCCTGCGTGATGGGCAGCTGGTGAGCCAGCGGGCTATCCCGCCACGCAGCATTCGCGGGGACCAGATTGCCTGGGTGGAAGGCCACGAGCCGGGCTGCCGAAGCATCGGGGTCCTCATGGCCCACGTGGATGCTGTAATCCGCCACTGTGCTGGGCGCCTGGGTGGCTACGTCATCAACGGGCGCACCAAGGTAAGGCTGCAAGGGCCTTGTTGGAGGGGGATGGGGCAACGCTTCTCTATCGGGTACCTGTGCGCTTGGAGACCGGCTTCTGGGGTCACAGAAGGGTTTAGGCAGCTCCAGTGGGGGGAGTGCTGGTGTTGGAGTTTGCTTTGGGCTCTGTCTCCATGTGGGGACTTTGGGGGTCTGTGCACTTTCTCTTTCCTTGTTTCTCTATCTTTTCATCCATCCCCGTCTCCTGGTCTGTCTAGTCCCTCCTGTTGTCTGTCTCTGGTCCGTCTGTTCTGTCTTCCAGGCAGGAGAACCAGGAGACAGAGTGGGGAGGGTGGCAGCGGTGAAGCCAGTGCCAGGCTGAGGGAGGAGGTGCTGCCCGCTGCGCCTGGCTGGCGCCGGACTCCATTGTACCCCTGTGCCATGCTGTGGCATCTGCAGCAAGGACAGCTTCCTGAGGGTGGCGCTGGCTGCTTGTGCGCTGGCCTGGGAGATGGGGGTCCTGTCCTCCACCTTTCCTGTGCTTCCCCATCCTGGACTCTCCCCTCATCCTTTCTGTCTCGTTTATCCATCACTTCGTTCCTGTCGGTCCTAATCTGTTTTCTTGATTTTCTCTTTTGTGTCTTTTGGTACCTTTTTCTTGTTTTAGAGTAGTTGTTGTTAATCCTTTTTTTTTTTTGGACACCTGGGCTTTTTTGACAATCTGTCAGAACCACAGACCCTTTTTTAAGAAAAATGCTCTTTTGTGGAGTTTATGGGCAGTCATCAGTGTCTCCAGCTGCCCGTTCAGGAACTTAGGGTCAGGAGCTTTTCAGAAGACCTTGGTCCACAGGGCCTTTCTGGACAAGGCCTCGTAGGGAGTGCCTGCTGCACGCCAGTGATGCCTGGCTGGTGGCGGGGCTGCTTGCTTCCCTGCGGGCATGAGGCTGTGCTCCTGATGTCTCCCTCTTCAGTCTGATCCCATCCTGGGTCCTGCCTCTGTACAGCTCTGTCACTGGCTGGAGCTGGCTTAGGGATCCAGGCTCCCTCCGGGCCGAAGCCGGCATCCTCCCCACCCAGCTGGAACTTGTCCTGTCCTACTTCCTTCCTCCTCCTCCCTTACCTGATAGCTGGAGAGCCAGAGGAGGCCTTTCCCTAGGCTCTGCTCCTGCGAGGCAGGAGAGATGAGTGGGAGTCTCCCTGGCCACAAGGTCCTCAGCACCTGCACCCCAGGTCACCCACCTTCATAGGAGGGAGTTTGGGCGGGAGACCACGAGAGCTGAGTGGCCCAGAGCAGCATGCTTTCCTGAGCCTCAGTTTGCTCATCTACAGGATACGAAAATCAGTTAAGTCCCCAGCTAGTCTTTGGCAGTTTTAAGAGAGAAGGGGAAAGTAGAGGGAGCCAATTTCTTCTCCTTTGGTGCTTTGGATGTGGTTGGGGACTGGGGGTGTTGGGACTATTTTAGTCTTGGGTGACTTCTGTTGCTCTGGGAGGTAAGAACAAATCAGGCCAACTGAGAATGGAGGGGAGGACCCAACCCAATCACTGGAGTTCCTCTCAGACCCTCCCCTGCCCCAGTGAGATAGCAACTCCAGGCTTTCCTACCTTCAAAGGGCAACATCTGGCCTCCCCAGGCTCTGGAATAAGAGTGAGCTGAGGTGGGTGGCCACAGAGGTGTTGGGGGCACAGATCACCAGTGTGGCTGGCGTCAGAAACAATCTGCCTGTTGGTCATTCTTTTTTTTTTAATGTTTGTTTATTTTTGAGAGAGAGAAAGAGAGAGTGTGAGCAGGGGAGGGGCAGAGAGAGAGAGGGAGACACAGAACTCGAAGTAGGCTTTAGGGCTCTGAGTGTCCTCACAGAGCCGGACACGGGGGTCAAACTCAGGAACCGCGAGATCATGACCTGAGCCAAAGTCGCACACTTAACCGACTGAGCCACTCGGGCACCCCATCTGTTGGTCATTCTTGAGTGGAACTCCTGTGTTTTGTTCTCCCAACTTTCTCTAGTCTCTCTGCTCAGTTGACCTGCAGGTGAGAGAGAGTTGACTCCCACTGGCATCAAGGACTGCCATCGGGGACCATAGGGCGGGCCTGGCTGGCTTGGTTTGTCCCTTTCAGAGCAGCTTGGAGGTGGGACTGTCTCACTCCCCAGTTTCTGACTCTGTGTGTGTGTGTGTGTGTGTGTGTGTGTGTGTGTGTGTGTGTGTGT